TCGATTGTCTGTTTGGCTTCCGTGTCATGACCTTGGTGATGGCATGCCGAATCGTAACGCCGGCCTTCTCGATCTCCTTCTTAGATAATCCTCCTGTAATACAGACCTTGAGTGCAGGTTTGATGTGCGAGGTACCATCCTTCGCGCCGATGCTGTTGATCAATGGAATGCTCTTCAGACGTGTAATGAGAACACCGTTGGCAAGCGTCTGTATAGTTCTGTTAACGGGCAAATTTCCCAAATAAAATAGCCACGTTGAAGATACTTACCTCATCAACGCATTCAAGGAAGAGTCGTTCCTGGTCTTCGTTGGTCAGTCGCCTGGATTGGATCACCTCGGGCTTGAACATGAGCAACATGACCGGGTTTTCCGGGTCGCTCGGGCAGTGTACCCAGTCGCTTCGGGGATCAAGCTGGGCTCGCATGGCGCGGATGTTCTCCCGGCACTGGATCAGAATATCGGGGTTGCATAGTAACACGTTCAGGGTTTCGCTGGCTGTCACGGCAGCCATGGCAGGCAGAGCTGCCGAGTAGGTGTACGATGGCGCGTTGATACGTTGATGTTGTATAACGTCTTTCGACCCGGCGCAGAACCCTCCTGCGGCACAGAGGGGCCCTGCCAGAGACCCAATTATCATGTCTACCGCCTCAGCATCTACGTTTTGCGCTTCCGTGAGACCTCGTCCGTTGTGACCTAACACACCGAACGACCAGGTCTCGTCCAGAGCGATGCGGAACTTGTATTTCTCCTTCAATTCGATCTGGAGAAGTGCCACCAATCATCAGCCAATTAACTCAGGGTTAGGGGCTAGTGCCTCCTTTAACGGGGGCGACTTACGAGCTTGGGAAGATCAGAGCAGTCGCCAATCATCTCGAAGAGACCCTCGGTCACAATGAAGCGCCTCGTCAAGATCTTCTTCTTTGCCTGCTCTTCAACCACCTTCTTCATGACTCGCTCCAGGTCGACCATGTCGTTGTGTTCGTACCACCTGATGTTGCTCCGGGAAGCTTCCAAACCCTTGCGAATAGAGAAGTTGACCATCTTATCGGCCACAATGACATCGCCTCGCTTGCAGAAAGTCGGAATGACACTCGATATGGTGGAGAAGGCGTGCGAGTAGACGATGCTACTCTGGGTGCCGAGGAAGACCGCGATGTCGGTCTCGGTTTGCATGTGGACATCCTGGGTGCCGTAGAACTGCGGTGGACCACAAGGGCCAACTCCGTAGGTGCGCAAGGTCTCAATTGCCTTGTTCTTGATCGACTCGCTCGCATTCAAGTTGTAGAAATTATAGGAGGCCAGATTCGTGACAGTCTTGCCGTTAGATAACTTCACTTTCGGACCGGTCGGACTGCACTCATGTCAACAACTACAGCTAGAATTAATTAATCGTGATTCTTACCCAACGATGATGGGCAGCTTCTCAGCTTCAGCTTCCTCAAAGGCGGTCTGGGGGGCGACGAGGGGCTCGGGCTCCCACTCCTTGACCAGGTCGTCGATCTCATCTTCTCGGAGTTTGACGTAATTGGGACCGTGGGTAGGGTAGGACGGCGAGAGCAGGTACCGAACAAAGAAGATCACAAGCACGAGTTCTATGGCAGAGCGGACTGGGTCATCCTGGTAGCTCGACTGGATGTATCGTATCAGGACGGAACTTCCGGGGACTTTCTGGAAGACGTCGGATATTTGCTGGAACGAGGCCTGCAAGTAGGCTTGCGCCTCGTGGAGATCCATTATCAGAATTGATTGTCGACTACGACGAGCGAGACATGGAAAGAGTCCAGTACGGAATGTAGCCCTTGAGGCTTTAGGAGAGGGAGATGGTGGTGGTGCCGGTTGGCTGCTGCTGTTGTTGAACCAATGTAAAAGAAATGGTTCTAGGTTATGGTAGGTCGGCAAGCAATCGCAAATTGGAAGGGTCCAATCTTAGGCTGTCCGTGCCCCAATTCTAAATTGGTCAAGGTTTACGCGCAAATCCAGGCACATCCTTAGCGCGTCAGGCAGTTTAGGGGGCTCCTTAGAGGCCGCCGTTGCCCCACCAGTGTTTGATTGGGGGGCTTACGGGATCTGTCAGCTGTCATTACTGTTTTACATACATACATACATACATACATACATACATACGCTCTAGGTATTACGTACCTACTATGTGCATACATGCGTATACTGCGTACTATACCATAGGTACGGGATAGTTAAGTAGGTAGTGAAAGATCGTTTAATAGCTACATCAACTATTATCAATGAGATCGCCATACAAAATAATAGCCATTGATTATCGGCTTCTTTATTCTGAACGTTGGTAAGCAACGACTAAATCTCCAAAATATGAGTACCTATACCCGGAGTTAGACAGCGTTTCCATCAATTCAAGTTACCTGACAGTATAAATTGACTTGAATTGACTTGAATTGACTTGATGGAAATTCTGGATCATTTAGAGCATAGTACCAAACTTTGAACTCCAAGATGTTGAGTATATTGAAGCCATTCATGCCTCAAGAGCACTGAAGAATGCCGGGCTCTCATTGCCATCAACAACTTTAGAAATCGGGGTGTGATACACCTCCCTATTGCCTGAACTATCTCCCAGCTGGCGAATATAAAACTCAGCCACCTTGATCCACATGGCCTTCTCTGTCCGGCTGGCTCCCGAGCCTTGCCAGACCCAGATGCTCCTACCGGTATCAAGGAGGAAGACATCGGCACTGTCTAGATCTGATTCTGCTATTGCCTCGCCTTCCTTGATCAAGTCGAATCGCAGCTGACCAGATGCGTCAGAGAGGCGGAAGAGCCTTCGCGGCCGACGGCTTGCGGCCTGGCTCTCGGGCGAGGTGAGAGGCCTGGGAGCTCTGAACGGCCCTTCGGCATCTTCACCTCCCAGCATGCTAACAATAGTTCGCGATTTCGATTCGCTTTGCGCCACCACCTCGACGTCGATATGTTTCGCAATCGTCATGTCGTGGACGACCTGTGCCGCCTTGGCCTTTTCCATGGGGCTGCAGTTCTTGCCTTGCCACACCCAGATCTTGTCGTTGCGCTCCAATACAAAAACGTCGTTCTCGTCGAGGCTCTGCCAAGTAGGCTCGACCTCGTGAACCACAATCGAGTCGGCCCGTTTGGCCGTCGGTTGCTTGAAGATTCTAAGGAGCATAAGCCTCTCCTTCGGTTCCTCCTCGGTCTCCACGTGTGTGAAGCCGGAGCTAACACCGCCAGGTAGGATCCGGACGAGAGAAAACAGGGCGAGGAAGTCGTCCGATGGATCCTTCTGTAGCTCACGGTGTTGCGTAGCTACTCCGTGTAGGAACTCGTCAAGCTCGACCGTCTTGTAAGCAGCTGTACCTGCCTCGTCCTGCGAGGTCTTGTTGCCCAGCCAGAAGAAGATATCATGGCCCAGCCTTTCCTGTCCACTCTTGCTCCCGACTTTGTAGGAATGCAAGATTATATAGCTGTCTCCCTCGTGGAAATCACCATACCGGTTCTTTGGCCAGGGAACTACTTCGAAGTTCTCGATTCGCCAGATGTGTAACCCGGCAGCCTGTCCAACTTCTTGCCATGCGGGCTCTGTGGCTGCTGAGTTGTACTTAACTTTATGGTCAAGCTCAGTTCCAATGTTTTCAACGTTGCTATCCCTCCAGTCATATTCTTTCATATGGACTAGGCCCTCGTGCGGTGCCATCTTGATGATCCAATGGGTTTGGAGCAACGAATGGACGTATGGAGGCACATTCAGAGCAATAAGCTTGATAATAGTAGCAAAAGCTCCTAACAAGCTAATTGAGAAATATAAGTAAACAATCAATTTCATGAAGCTGAACTGACCACGCAGCAATCCACTCGAAGGGATGTTATTGACGTAATAAGGCTAACATCGTTAGCAAGGCGGGGAAGCTGAAACAGCTCATATTGTCTCACATTCTTACAGTAGATGGCTTAGCCAACCATAATTCAACATAAGAGTGTCTCACCGAGCAAAAAAATGAGTTGGGCCAATAAGAACTAGGTAGATAGGTCGATACTACTACCAACGCTTTTAGCATTCACTTTCGTAGCTCGTTTGAATGTTTCGTCCAATTCATCTGTACGGCTTAGGTACATGTATGTAACATTTGCATTGTCATATTCTAATTGGTCACATCTGTGGAGTGCACCTTAAAAAAGGAAGACTTGCCCAAATCGAAAAGTTTGAAATTGAAACATCTAAATTCGTACACACATTAGCACCGTCTAAACCTCAAGATCGATCGACCATCCGCCTAACCTAGCTCTTACAACATAAGCAGCCACAGAGAAGACCGTAGCAATGTCGAGCAAAGATACAACAACCCAGGAATTCTCGTCCTACTACCTACAGCAATGCACCAAGGAGTTCGCGGAGGATCTGGACAAGATCCGCAACGCTGATGATTTCAAGGGCGACGCGGTGGCCATGCTCATCAATTCTCTGCAAGGAGGCACGTCCATGTTCTCTGCAGCCGACCAGAAAAGGGTCCTTGATGCGCGGAAATCTGGCGATGCGGATCAGGAGAAATCTGATTGAAAGGGAGACTTCATAGGTAGGCTCAGTCAACCAGAGACTCAACTGCGCGTGATGGAGTGCGGAGTCTGTGGTCTCTTCAAACAGAAGCGATATCTCCTAGTCACAAGGGCTTAAGGAGAATATTTGATGAAGGACTGGTCCCACGACATCTTCAAAATATCAGCGAAGTCAGCAGTTCGATGCTCCTAATCGCAATGCCTCATTAGTGGCCTCATTGGAATAGGTACAATAAAGACTGAGCTGCTATGAGCAATTGCATCTGAAGACTGGGGGTTGGGGCGTGAAAGCAAGGGGTGTCATTGATCAGTGAAGTGCGACGGTGTTTAGTTGTTTATGTAATAAGTGCGCATCATTGCAGCTTTAACATCACACTCGCAAGGGGAAGCGAAGTATACATCAAGGAATTTGTCGAATATAGAAAAAGGAAAAAATGAGCAAAAGTTTATAAAAGATATGCGCCGGTGCGGACAGGGATCGAACCTGCGCGGCCGAAGCCATAAGATAGCTGAATTAGAAGCAATTCAAGTCTTACCCATTAACCACTCTGGCACCGCACCAATACGTAATCCCGGGCGCGTTATTGTAACTTATCAGCTATGCTCGGAAAATCTTCGGATAAACTCGGTGCACGTGTTTCTCAATGGCAACGAGACAAGGAATTGCCCCCTAACAGCTAACCAAGGGAACCCCGTGTAGCATATGTGTTCTCGGGTAAAATTCCATGAGTTTTTCGCTAATGATTACTGTCAATTGCTGCTTCGAAATTGAGAAAAGGGGTGTTGGGAGGCGAGTATGTAGGTACATGTAGGTACAACGGACACCCCTTTGGACATGGCGATATCTGGAGAAATTTCAACAAATCTCTACCTACATAATGCTTTTGTGCTCTTATGCATTAGATTATTAGGAGGTACAGGCTCAACTATCATATGCGTCTCTCACCTTGGTCTCTATAGGTAAGCCACTTTGGATGCCGGGTCGAGAAGAGCGGATAAAGGGCTCAGTCTACCATATATCGTATGTATGTACAGAATAGGGTAGTAGTGCTTGACCAACTAATTGTTGCTGAACTTTATTTAGGACGTCTTGTCAAACCAAGATGCAAAGAATAGATTATTGCTTTACTTAGATGGAGCGCCATCATCTTCATCCAGGAAAGGATCAATGCCGTAAGTAGATCTACTGTCGCCTGCCTCTGTCAATCAAGTGATGGGGCATTTTCTATTTAGAATTGTAAATATAAGCTGCTTCCATATTATGCCGACACAACTAAGGTACGAGAATGGGAGCGAATTATAACACTAGTCCAATTGCGCCCTATCCCTTTTCAATTTAGACAAGCAATGAAGTAGAGTGTAGACTATCTCTAAAGTCGGAAAATATAGAAGCTAAATAGTTCAAATAATAATAGAAGATCCAAAGTCTGATAGAACATATCGAAAAACCTACCAGCTTAACCTATTGACTAGGAAGGTTGTAACTAGTTTTCTCATCTGTAGTAGTATTCAAGTCCTCCTGGATTGGCGGCAACGAGCTGACCAAACCGAGAAATGAGTTTCGAAAGTACGGATTAAAGACAAATACGTACTTCAAGTTTAATATCACTTGTAGCAGTTGTACAGACAAACGGTGTATATGAATATGTGGCTGTGCAAGAACATACGGTTGTATATCTGTGTGAACTCTCCAAGACATCTAGCCAAGTGAGCTTCATGGTACTGTTGATCTTCTTCGGGCATCTTCTGTTGTCGTTCAATCCAGTCGCTCATGATTTCAGGCAATATGGCAGTTGTAAGCACGTCCTCATCGTGTATTTTTGTTCGGAATTTCGCCAGTTCGACAGGCACGCCGACGACCTCCTGTAGAAGACCCAAATACGTCCATGTCTGAAGGACAGAGTGGACTTCCTCGAAAGGTCGACCTAATTGCGGACAATGTGTAATATCATTTACCAACCATCCAATATGCCCTAGATATCCGAGTACAGGGTCCTCCATCATACTCTCTGGCGAAAAATCTGACATGAGGTAGTGGCCTTATGGGCTTCCATGCTTGCAGAATGTGCTCCATGGAAGTATATTTCGATCGGGGAAAGGACCCATCTAAGGTCCCAATCAGCTGAACTATACTCTCATGAGCTGTTGATGACCGGGGAAGAAATAAAGTGTTTCTAGAGATAGAAGTAATATTATATTAATTATACCTTTGGTGGTGAAAGGCTGTGTTTCGAAACTGCCTCGAGGGCTTTTGATGTATGCCCGGTTGAATGAGGGGTCACTCTTAGGCAAGTAACCGCCAGCTTCATAGCACTCTCACAGTGTAACACTCTATACCATTTCATCTTACTTCGTCTATTGATATTATTGTTTTACTTTGGTGATGTAGACGATAACGTAACTATGTGCTCGTTCCCCGTCATGTTGTTGGACCATTTGGTCCTTTCAATTAAACAACATTGACCTCTTCGGGCATAATGGATTCAGGCCAGAGGCGGCGGTGATTCTGGAGCTGAAGAACCGACAAATAAATTAGCATAAACAACAAGCAAAGACTTCAATGCTAAATCGAATAGTCACTTATATGTCCTGTTTATTTTATAATATCCGCCTATGTCCTCACGTCTCAATGGTCTGTATCATTCTCTATCGAGCATCATTTGGCCATAAGCCCTCGTCATGCTTCAACCTCTCAAGGACACTCCTATACCGTCTACTCTATACACTGGACTCAGACTCACGAGAGAGATAACAATTCTTTTGACGCAAATTACTGGATCTAGATCTCGCAAATAAAAGGATCCAGTTCCGGAATACCTACCTATGACACGGACGCCCTTCGTCAAGGCCACCGCTTGTACATATATAAAGGGGCCCCTACCCCCTTCAACTACACCTTGCACTAACCAAGCTATTATGTTCCTTTTTCATTTGTCCTATATTCACACTCGTGGCGATAAAGCTAGCTGACTAGGAAATCTCAGCATGGCCTCTAAGACGGCAGAACCAGCTCTTCTTCAAGTAACTTCAAATAAATTTAACACATGCGACAAATGATCATAAAGTCATCTTCTGACACATACATATCCTTACAGCAAGGCCTTCACAGTAACCGATCCAGCTTTGTTTTATATAGCGATGCAACATGCCAATAGGTGCAGCAAATTACCATAGACGTCGTCGTCCCTTGACATGTGGTACATGTACACCCTTGTGGCGAGGCTAGACCTTGCCAGATCCACGGCTCGTCCCGTGTCACTGTGGTATCCAATAGAAACCTAGCTGTACAAACCCCACGCTTCCATTTGCCAGTCCATGGTCGTTGATACCTAGTCAACGTCATCGCCATATCACCAACGCTACCAGTGCGGGAGTTCGAAATCCAAATCACAGACAATCACCAAATTACAAGTAGGCAGGTAGGGAGGGTATAACTCGAGTAGAGTATATATATCGTAACGATATGTATTTGACAATGCAATTCTAAAGTCTTCATGAACCAACGTCATTATTCTAAGGGGTCAGCCCGGTCCTCCTGACGGCATGCCAATGCAGTCTAAGGTGTAAGGTGTAAGGGGTATGTACGTATGGTATCTCTCATTCACCTCCCTCCCTGACCTTCCTGACCGACCGACCACCGATTCCATCATTAGGTAGATAAAATATAGGGGGAGTCGGGGCGGGGAAAAAATTCCAATCCCTCTTATCTCCCATCCCCATCCATCCATCCACCCAACCGCCATGTCATTCCCGTTTGTAAGCCCGTCATAAGACTACCACTCTTATTTTCCCTAGGGGTATCATCGATGATATAAAAAGAAAGTCCAGAATGCTAAAAATGATTATGCTGCTGAAAAGCAAGGAAGCAAGAGAGAGGGGGTATTTATCGCAAAGAACCGACCACCCGCCCCGAATACGCCGGAAATCAAGAATCCTGACTTCCTTTGATGGTATATGTAAACCGCCTATGTTCCGTTATCGGACGGGAATCCGATCACAGTATCCGACCTAATGCGACGTAGCTATTTTTCCTGCGTTGAGCAAAAGATGATTGTCGTATCGACTGCGCTCAATCACTCATACCCTGCTGCCGAGTGCTGAAGATTTCGGATTCCGTCCAGCTTCCCGGCGGACAGCCCAGCCCTTGAGAGCGAGGACGAGAACAACCCAGGCCATGAGTAGACCGACGAGTCCCATCGTCACCGTGTACATGAACATGGCGTCCAAGTCGTAGTGTATCATGCCACCAACTACGTCGCTAGCCTGTTAAATTGGTCAGTAATCTAATGATTCCTTGATAGCGCTGCTACTACTCACACTGGCCATGAAAATAGTGCCTCCGGCAATCAGTCCAAACGCCGTCATGAGCTCCGTTGGCGGCCGGGATGGTAGGACCGAACGCGGGGGCTTCAGGTACATGATCACATAGGTAAAGCCACGAGCAAACGAGGCACCGGTGAGCAGGTTACCCCATTGCTTGTGAACCATACTGGAGATCATGGTTTGCTGCGTGTGGGAGCTCATCATGATCCCCAGCAGTAGAATCACAAGCGCCGGAATAGGGTTAATCGAGAACTCATACGTATCCGGCTTCTCGAGGGCCTCGCGTTCCTCATCGCTGTACGCATGGCTGGGGTGAGTGAGAGCTGCCTCGGTTACGGTGGTGTTCAGTAGCTCGCGGATCCGGGTCGATTCAATGAGCATGGCCAGCTAGGCATGAAAATGTCAACGTCGATCTCATCAGACTAGGTCACATTTTAAAAAAAAAAATGGAAACTCACCAGTCCGCCGCCAATGAAGAGCACCGTGATGGAGATGTGCTCCAGATCCTGAGGGCTGAATTCCTTACCGGCATTGCCGAGGTGCTCGAGGAAAATGTTGGTCGAGCCGTAGGTGAAGATAAGGGCGCCCTCGACGAATTCAGCTGTGGGTCTCCACTTCTGTGAGCTTGTTTTCGGCCGGACGTTCCAGGCCTGTACCATGTCAAGTCAGCCAACAACGTGCATGTCGACCTCGTGCGTTTATTCTGACTCACCCAACCCAGCTCCCCGAAGCTTCCGGACCACCGCCCCAAAGTTAAAATCCCGTACCAAAAGAAGATGCCGCCCTTGATCCAATGAGCGAGGCCGCTGAAAATTCCGTGTCCCTCCTGTAAAAAAGAGATTAGTTAATGAGCGTATATTGTCAAATTTGCTGTTGGGGCAATCTTACGAAGAAACGCCCGTATGTGATGACACCCGTACACAGCGCAATGTAACCCAGAATGAGAATTGTCCGGTCAATGAAATTGTAGGTGAACCCCAAAACTTTCCAAGCTCTAGTCGATATCTTGCCAGCAAGTCTGGCGACAAGCGAGGTCGGACCCTTTGGTGAGTGCAGATCCACAGGCTTGAACTCGAGGTCTTCGTCGTCTTCGTACTGTGCTCTTCGGTCGCTCATCTCGATCGGCGATTCGTGGCCAATGGCCGTCGACACCGAGTTGCTTCGGAGTGATTCGGAGTTCGGTTCCGTGCCCTGGCCGCTGTCGTTCGAGTGTCGGTAGTCGTGAGAAAATAGCCTGT